TAGCCTAAGGGCGGAGGTAATGTGCAGGTCTCACGTGCCAGGGAACCTGTGCAGCCATAAAGAAAAATAATAAATCTGACATCTGCAGGAAGGTGAATGGAACTGGAATCGTTGTGTTAAGACGGGGTAAGGGCAGATACAGAAACACCAATACACCACGATTTCTTTCAGATGCAGGACTTAGATTTAAATATTTAAATATGAGAGTGGGACATAGGAGACGGACATGTCAGAATTAAACCTACTACTTTATATGCTAGCTTCAAAAACCAACAAATAAAGGGACTGGGTTTAGATCATCTTTGAAAGAAGTACCTGGCTTGGTTTGGGTCAACCACTGACCTTTTTTTTCTCCTTCATACATGAATACATTTTATTTTGATCAAATTCATCCCTCACTCCCCTTCTAAGCTTGTCTCTAGCTTGTCCTACCCCATCTTCCTATCAGTATCATGTCCTTCCACACTCTACAGAAGATAGATAGATAGATACATAGATAGATACATAGATAGATAGATAGATAGATAGACTGATTGATTACTGGTTGAGTCAAATTAGTATAACCCAAATGTAGGTGAGTGTAGGTCTATCCTTTATAGCTTGGGACCTACCACCACTTCTGAGAAATCTGACTTTTTTCTGGTACCTTAGACTACCTGTAGCTTCTCAACCAGGAGTGAGGCTGCATACACTTAGAAAACACACACACACACACACACACACCATGCATGCCAGGATATTGACTAGATTGATCTTGAAAGCACCTTGTGTAGCATCCACAACTGTAGACAGTTCATGAGTGCAGAGGCCCGTCACGTCTGGAAGACTATTTGACAATGGGCCTCTGGGAGCTCTGGCCCATAGAATCTTTCCATTCTCTGTGAGACATTTGCTCAGCTTTGGGAGGAATGTGTGATACTGGCCTGCTGCCCTTTGATCTCTGTTGTCCCCTCAGTAAACCTCCATCCACTCAGAAAGAAGCTTCTTAGGCACTAACTACACCTCCAGAAGATCTGGATTCAATTCCCAGGATCTACAGAACCTCTCAGAGCCATCTGTAACTCCAGTTCCAAAGGATCTGACACGCTCTTCTGGCCTCCTCAGACACTAGGCACATATTTGGTCTACAGGCTTGCTGGACCCATGCACATAAAATGAAATTAAAGATAATAATAAACACGTATTCTTAAAGAAGCAGTTTTTCACATGGAGAGAGGAGAGAACCAGCGACATTGGTGTCAACCTTTCTCACAGAAGACAGTGTTACAAGGGGCCAGATGGCAGAGGGAAGCAAGGAGGTGCAGCATAGGACACTTCTGATCTAGACTGTTACCCCCTCCCCAGATAACAACCACAGCTCCGATGCTTCATTTACTGGCCCAGCAAAGGAAAAAAATGGCTTTTATAATGTATCCAAATCAGAGCAGCTACCTCTCCGGCTCTGCTGCTACCCTTGGCTCTGTGTCGCCGTCATTTGATTTTGGTATTTCTAATCTGCTTATGGGCTTACCTCTGGCTTCCAGCTGCTTTATCCAAAAGGAAAGGCTCATGTGCCTGTCTTTTGTATGGTTTCACGTCCTCCTCAGTTCCTCGATGACTTCTTTTGAGTCTTATGGCAGCAAACTACGTGAACCAGGGCTTTGTGTGGAAACAGACAGACTTCTGTTCTCAACACACTGTTATCAGGAAGAGACCAGGGTGGTCTTCACAGAGATGTCACGATGGGTGTTTCAGACAATTTTGGAGCTTGTTTTCCAGAGGCCAAAGGTCCGGAGTTGCTTCCCTTCCTGTGCTTATGATTTTGGTAAAGTTGCCGATGACGAGGAGGATTGGCACAGAGGAAAACACACAGTTGATATTTAGAAACTCTCTCTTCCTGCTTCATTATCCCTGTCACTATGGTAACAAGGATTCTTAGGATTGTAGGTTGTTTTTTTTTTAACTGCTATAGTTGGAAGATTGACAAATATTGTAGCTTAAGAAGAAATGACTATCTTTGTGTAATACAATCTTCAACATATGAATGAATGTGTCCTTTTGTCTGAAACCTATTAAGTCTAAATATATATAGCTTTGCTTTTCCCCCCCCAGAAGTTAGCAATTCTTCCTTGGCCTGCCTGGCAGACAAGATTGGCAGGTGCCTTATGATGGCAGGTGCAGGAGAGCCCTCTAGTGGGAAATTGTCAGGGCAAACTCAGGAGCAGGAGAGAGTCAAGAGAGAAGGGAATAGTCACCAGTGAGATAGAGAATGTGTTCATTTGTCAATCTGTCATGTAAAAATCCCCAGGCACATACTGAAGCATGTGCTAAATAAGTAGCAAAATTAAGATAATGATTTCAATGCACCATTCTCCATGGCCCTCCCCTGAAACGTCTGGAATGGGCAAAATCAGAGAATAAGGATGTCTTCAGGCAGTAAAAGAAATCGAGGGGCTGGAGAGAGATGGTTTAGCAGTTAAGAACACTGGCTCATATTCCATCCAGAAGGCCCTAGTTTGATTCCCAGCACCTACACAGTAGGTCACAACCCTTTGTAACTCCAGTTCCAGAGGATATAGCACCCTCTTCTGACCTCTGAGGGTTACCAGATAAGCGTGTGGAACTTAAACATACATGTAGGCAAAACACCCATACATATAAATAAAATAAAATTGTAAAAACTTGAGTCTGAAGTGGGTGAGATGATCCTTCTCCAAGAAGTGGTGGGAGATGGGGAATTCTTGCCTCATGAGTGCTTTGCAAACAACATTATAAACCTCCCCCTTGCTGGGCAGTGGTGGCACACACCTTGAATCCCAGCACTTGGGAGGCAGAGGCAGGTGGATCTCTGAGTTCGAGGCCAGCCTGGTCTACAGAGTGAGTTCCAGGACAGCCAGGGCTACACAAAGAAACCCTGTCTCAAAAAACCAAAATAAATAAATAAATAAATCCTCCCCTTCCTCAAAACCAGCATCTGAAGAGGACTTCTTTTGCTGTTTGCCCTTCCCTTAGACAATTACAGAACACTCCTTACCCTGCATCACTAGCCAGCCATCGTGCACACCTGAAATCGTAAAGTAAATTTTACAAGAACAGCTGTATCCCTCTTGCCTCGGGTCCCGATGCTTTTACTCATTCGGTTTTACATGACTTGGATTTTAATGTCTTTTACAGACTATTTTAAAACCGTGGTGCATAAGAAATAACCCTGTTGTACATGTGTCGTAAAAGCATCTGAGCTATGTCTAAATGTGCCGAAGGATTTAGAACTGGAGCCCTTGGTCCACAGTTATGTTACTGACCGTCATCCATAGCCTCTCCTAAAGCCTCACAAGGTGTGTTTCCAGGCAACATGAATCCGGCGTTAGAGTTTATGCCTTTCAAACTTGTTGAGGGTCTAAGTCAAGCTGGAGTCACCGGTGGGAACGTTTAGCCCAGAACACAGCGTCTCTGGTGCCCCACAGCCCAGAGTTTCTATCAGGCGATCTAATCGTTCTCTTTTCTGAATTGGATTAGATCCCTTAGTTATAAATCCAGAATCACAATATATGTTGGTGTCCAATTAAGAAAAGAAATCTTGGAGTAATTTAACCAAGAGCAAGCCAGCATCTCTCTCCTGTCTCTAATCTGTGGTGTAAGCCTGAATCTGTGCCTTCCTGAATGCTGTCTTGTAAATCCGTGTATGCGTTTCCGTGTGCATGCATGCGTGTGTGTATGCATGTGTGCATGTGTGGTTGTGTGTCTTTATATACATGTGTGTGTGTCTTCATATACATGTGTGTGTGTGTGTGTCCTTAACAAAGGGTTTTTGTTCTGTATTACTGAACAGCACAAAAGTATCATATGAAGAAGGAATGGGAGATCCCTTACAGAAATCTTTAGCAGGGTTTTACAAGGAATGAGACTTTATTTACTTCATCAGCTAACAAACAGGCAAATGCTATCAAGCCATGCGCATATGTTGCTATATGTTGCTTCCACTGCTTATGGAAGATGTTTATTGTATGACTTTGCCATCGACTATGGTAACATGCATTCATGCATGAATCACTCATGGGTCAGGGTATGGAAGACTACATAACAAGATTAAAGCTATGCCTTAGCTTAGGTTGTAAAAGTTCATCACATGAGGGCAGGAGGGCTGGAGAGATGGCTCTCAGTAGTTAAGAGCACTGACTGGTTCTTCAATTCCCAGCAACCACACGGTGCCTAACAACTATCTGTAATGGGATCTGGTGTCCTCTTCAGGTGTGTCTGAAGGCAGCTCCAGTGTATACTCATATAAATGAAATAAATAAATCTTTAAAAAAAAATCATCACATGGGAAACCCAAGGCAGGTTAGGTGGCTTGTTTTGTTGCTGTCTTAAAGGTGGGTTAAAAAGACAGGTCGAGTCCACAGTAGGATAGCAGTAACCTCAGGGCGTATTATTAACTATGGGTCAGCAAAAGTTCCAGTCTCTTAGAATGTATGAGAGAGTTTGTAATGTTGCGTCACCCCACTTTTCTGACTAGAACAAGGATTTTCAAAGCCCAATGCCCCATCAGGTACTGTGTGAGGCTTCACGTCTTCCCAGAAGCCTGATTTACCTGGTTCTCATGGTCCTTCCTCTCCATGACCATCAGTGGATGCTCAGCCATGTGCTGTGATATAGAGGACTGAGCTCCTTGCATGGTATGCCTGTGTCCCTGGCATAAATGTATGTTCAGGAGAATTCACACGGTGTCTTACACCTATTGGATCCAATTCAATCATTAATTCACTCACTAATCATTCAATCACCCAGTAAATAGAGTTTATAGTCACTAAAATACACTGTGACCCCTGACTCCCTGTCTTCTAATTTTCTGACCCTTGAGAACTCCATTTCTCTTGAGCTTCCCAGTTCTCTGCTGGGCTCCATACAAAGGTCATTGTACCTCCCATAAAGCCAGCTCCCAGAGCCTGAATCCGCTGCAGCTAAAAAGCACAGTATCCTACAATAGGTCCATTCAGAATCTGGGAGCGGTCAGGGATGCAAAAATGGAAGGCCAGGTACGTGAAAGGGATCTGATTTGGCCTTGAGACCACCAGGACTTTATGCTCAAGATGGGCACCTGTATAGACCATCTAATACAGAGTCCATTTGATGTCCCAGGGAGAGAAGTGTGGGTGTGACCTGAGATTGTAGAAAAAGCAGAATTCCCATAGGAGAATGCAGAAAAAGCAGAATTCCCATAGGAGAGAGACACACCCGACGGGGCATTTTGTTTCTCTGCAAATGCTATGGGTTTTGTTGTTGTTGTTGTTTGTTTTTTTCTAACAGTTAAACCCCAATTTCCTTGCAGGTCAGCACAGACACCCCCAGCTTAAGGAAGACAGATCTGAAAGGCCGGAGTGCACTGTTGGCTGACATCCAGCAAGGCAAACGCCTACGAAAAGTCACCCAGATCAATGACCGCAGTGCCCCACAGATCGAGAGTAAGTGGGCAGCCCAGGGCAGCCCCCAGGGAGCCCAGGATGGGGATCCATAGAGCATGGTCAGACTCTAGCTAATCTGCATTTGTGACCCATGCACTCTCAAACCATCTCAGACCTGCTGCAGGGACAGGCCATCAGGTGAGGGATTCAGACCCTCCCTTCTGAAAGGCCACAGGTGGTAGAGCTTGCATTATCTTTCATTACTTTTTGATAACAACAACAAAACCCCCTTGTGATAAGTATCATTTTTAGATTGTGATAAAATACACATAGCAAATTTCATCATTTTTAACTGTCCCATTGAGTGTCATCAGAGACATTCACAATGTTATTGCAATGTGAATGCAATATGAAAATTATGTAAATGAAAAAACCTTCTTTTTTTGATTTGGTCAAGATTCCAAAACGTTAACATGTTATATCCAGAAACATTTTGTATTACGTTTTCATATATTTCAAAATTATAGCAATTCTCAAAAATAGTCCTATTACTAGTATTGTATTTCAATAATCTATAACTACATGTGTTAGGGCATAAACACACACATTTTAAAGAATTATCTTTATTCTTTTCAATTATGTGTAGGTGTGTGTATATGTGTGCACATGTGTACAAACATGTACATTCCCATCTGTATGTATGTACATATGAATACAGATGCCTGCAGAGGCCAGAGGAGCTGGTGTTGCAGCAGGTTATCAGCTGCTCAGTGTAGATGCTCAGAACTGAATTCAGGTCTTCTGGAAGAGCAGTGTGTGCTCTTAACAGCTGAACCCTCTCTCTAGTCCCAAAGATGGATACCTTTTAAAAGAAACCTTTTCAACACTGATTATAATGAGGATTCATTTCTGACTAGACTCATTGTCTAATCGGTTAAGCTCAGTTAGCAGTTAGCAGACTGATACATATTATTGTCACACCTACTGCCTAATCACAACGAGTACTGTATGTAATATTCAGAGTAATCTGACACTCATCCAACAGTGGGCACTGTGCCCTAACTGCATATGTTACTCTTAGCTTGGGTCTCAGTTACTTTTCCACTGCTATTATAAAACACCATGACCAAGACAAGTCATAGAAGGTTGATTTGGGCTTATGGTTCCGGAGGGAGGAGAGGCCGTGCTGGCAGAGTAGAGGTATGGCAGATGGAGCTGGACGCTGTGAGTTGAGATCTTCGGCCACAATGAAGAAGCAGGGAGCAAACTGGAAACAGCCAGAGTCTTTAAACTCTCAAAGCCCACCTCCAGAGACATACTTCCTCCAACACTCCCCTCCTGTCTTAGTCAAGGTTTCTATTCCTGCACAAACATCATAACCAAGAAGCAAGTTGGGAGGAAAGGGTTTATTCACCTTACATTTCCACATTGCTGTTCTTCACCAAAGGTAGTCAGGCTTGGAACTCAAGAAGCAGGAGCTGATGCAGAGGCCATGGAGAGATGTTACTTACTGGCTTGCTTCCCCTGGCTTGCTCAGCTTGCTTTCTTATATTACCCAAGACTGCCAGCTCAGGGATGGCACTACCCACAAAGGACCCTCCCCCCCATTGATCACTAATTGAGAAAATGCCTTACAGCTGGATCTCAGGAATTCTTGTCTAAGTTGAGTGTGTCTTCTGAGTGTCTATGGCTGGTAACCACCGTATATGGAAGGTAGGGTTACTGATGCCACATGTCTGGACATTCTGATCCATAAATAAAAAAAATATGAAGTTAAAATGTCTAAATGAGTTAAGCTTGGACTTTGTGGGGAGAAGAGAGGGTGTCTAGGCCTTTCTATGTCAAGTTGAGTTTTCTAATTTGAGCCACAGATGGTCCTCACTCTGATGGGACTAGACTGGGTAGCAGACAGGCTTAGGCATGAGAACACACACAGTGAAAGCGGTGGCATTGGGCTAGGGTGGGAAAGGCCCGCTGGCACTTCTTACTTATCTTCCTGCCTCTCCTCTCCAGGTTCAAAAGGAACCAGCAAAGAGGGAGGAGCCGCTGGCGGCAGCACCCGAGGAGGAACCACGCCCCCTGCCCTGGGAGATCTCTTCGCTGGTGGCTTTCCTGTGTTGAGACCAGCAGGCCAGAGGGATGTGGCAGGTATGGAAGGATCCAACCTGGTGGCCTGATGGCTGCTAGATTTCGGCGCATAGCTTAGGACAGACTACACCAGACCAAACGGTTCCACGAGGAGAGGGGTTTATTTAGGGCGGAGGGCAAAGGTGGGGAGAGAAACGGAAGAAGATGATGGGGAGAAGAGAGCGAGGTCAGGAGGTTCTGCCTATTTATATGGGCGATGATGTAGCCTTTTCCCAGGTAAAGGTGAGGTAGCCAGGTGGATTCTGGGAGTGTATGGCGGTTGCCTTGGCAACGATGTAGGGTCTCCTGGATGTGACATCATTGAGTTCAGGCCTGGTACCAACAGTGGCCGCCTTTCTTCATTCCTCCTCCCCCCCAACATGTGGGATGCATAAATAGTTATATAGCACGGAGATGTACATTTGAGAACTTTAACCCTGGGAACTCCTAAATCCCAGACTTGTTCTCTGGGAATCTTTTTAAAACCGCATCTATTTAAATTGCCTCATCATAACTGGAGAATGACTTGTTTAGCAAAGGCATCATCTTAGACGGAGTGCCATTCATAAAAGACCGGACAGTGCTGCGGACCCACCAGCTTGTGTTGAGTCGTGATGGATCTCTATCTCCGTATCAGTTAGACACTGCTGGGCAGCCAAATGAAAAGATGTAGGAGCTTTAACCGCCTGCTTATTTAGACTGTCATTCTGTCTATGCGCGATTTAGGATGGTCTTACCTAGGCTCCTTAGCATCTGCAAACAGCTGCAAACTGGAGAGGTGGCTTACTTCCCCTATCTCCAGGGCCCCAGCTGGAACAACTGGACTGACAGTCCTCAGAGCCACATGATCTGCAGATCTGCAGCAGGCCACCAAGGGCTTGTGTTGGGTATCAAGAGAGAAGATGTGCATAGTCTCTAGAGACAGCTAATTTAGAAGTCTGCCAAGGGTTACTTCCTGCTCCTTCCTCTAGGTTAGTCAGAGCCAGGGAGTCACAGCTGGGACAGGGAGTGAACGTCATCTCTTGACAGAACACATAAAAATGACACCAGAGGGCTTGATCTGGTCACTGAGACCAGTAGCAGGCCATAGCATTAATTTATGCCTTAGTGAGCATTCAGTGTTTTTTCTTTTAATTGTTGTATTAAAAATTGTCCAAATATACTGCTGCTGTAAGCGGTAAAAAGGGGTGTTTTGTTTGTTATTGCCTTAGAGGAGGACAGATCCAGCTGAGGGGGGACTTGTGCCTGCTGCACGTGTGTAGCCTCACAGTGGGCCTGCACAGTCTACTCCTCAGCTACAGGGACATCAGGCTCCTGAGTCCTGTGTACCGCCCAGTCACCTGGACTTTTTTCCTTCCCACATTGCAGGGCTAACCTAGAATGTGTTTCATTTCCAGGAGGCAAGACCGGACAGGGCCCTGGCTCCCGAGCGCCTTCTCCCCGGCTCCCCACCAAAGCCATCGGCGGCCCCCTTCCTGCCCCTGCATCTCCCAGGCTAGGCAATGCCTCAGAGACGCACAGCTCTGCCAGGCCGGCCCCTCCTCGCCCCAGTGTGCCTGCCCCACCGCCTCCCACTCCACCCCCACCCCCGCCTCCACCTCCGCCACTCCCCCCGGCCTCTCCCATCAAAGCCCCGTTGGTGTCCCCACCTGTCCCTCCAACCAAGGGGACTCCATCTGTGGTGCCACCCCCTATACCCTGCGCACCTCCTCTTCCGCCTCCTCCCCCGACTCCGCCCCCGCTGCCCGCAGCCTCAGCGCTCAGTGACAAGGCAGTGAGGCCCCAACTAGCCCCGCTGCACCTGCCACCCATCCCACCCCCGCTCCCCCTTCTCCCACCCTGTGGGTACCCGGGACTCCACTCAGAGCCCAGCAGCCCTGCACAGGAGGTACGAGAACCACCAGCTCCTCCACCGCCGCCGCCACCACCACCTCCACCACCACCACCACCTCCACCACCGCTCCCCATCCACGCCTCTAGCTCCCCGAGGGCCGCTGGGGCCCCGCCCCCTTTGCCAGGCTCAAACAACAGCGGCAGCGAGACTCCTCCCCCGCTGCCCCCCAAATCCCCCAGCTTCCAGGCGCAGAAGGCCTTGCCCACACCTCCGGGTGCTCCCGGCCCTGGCCCTCAGGCTATCCTGCAGAAGAAGCGGCGAGGCCCAGGTAAAGCAGCCTTCGAGACTCCCCTGAGTCCTCTGAGCCGTGCGCACACCATGGCAAGGTTCAAATCCAGTTTCCATGAGAACACTAAAACCTGGCCCTTTTGTGGGACCTTACTGTTTGTTTCAAGATGGAAGCCACTGTTGAGGGAGGCTGGGAGTCCTATCTTAGATCCCACAGACCGTACCAGAGATTCTGACCTTGACCCTCTTGACATTGCTAGCTGCGTGTCATGGGGCAACCTCTTAGCCTCTCTGTGCTTTCTTGTCTGTCAAATAGGGTGACGGGCAGACGTTTCTGTCTCACAGTATGGAGAATGTTTGACACTAGTCTGGCTCTAGCAACGGTGAGGGCTGGAGACGTGGTGTTTATTCAGTCTGGCTCTGGACCTCCCCCCTGGGTTAGGTACAGCCAGTTTCCAGAAGTAGGTCTCTGGTTTAGTTACCTGAGTGACAGCCACTGGAACACAGTCTGTATTCTGTAGATTCTCCAGCCGACTCAAGAAAGCAGGCTTGTGTATTGAGCCAAAATAAGGATAACTCTTTCCCAGGAAGGATTGTGAATGAAGCACGGTATTGGAGAGAGCATGCAGGGGCTACGTGCAGCAGAAACCACTGCAGCCACACTCCTGTGCGTGCATGCATACATGCAGAAACACTCAGCACATGCATACATGCAGAAACACTCAGCACATGCCCAGGCTGGTGAACACACATCTGCACACATGTGTTCACACAAGTACACTGATAATACATGTCACTCACACATACCAGTCCATCTCTCACACACATGCTACTTACACCATATACATACGTGTACACACATATACAGGTCCATCCATCATATACATACACAGTATACACTACATACCTATACATGTACACATGCGCATAGCAAATATATGTGTTCCACACATACATACATCCTACATACACATGTACACATAGCGTTAAACACATGTACATGTATCACATGCACACCACACATGTCTGCACATGACATACAAATATTCAGGCGCATGTGCAGTTTCTTGGGATGTGTAGGTACCTGAATTCAAATGCTAGGCTCCTCATCCACCCCCGTTTAAGGGGGGGCTGCTTAAGCGGTTATTTTCTAAATAATGCCAACTTTCACGTAAGATTGCCAAATGAGGGCCTGCCTGCATGTGTCTTGTAGTGCGTGACCCGTTTCCTAGTCCCCTGTGGAGTCTCATCCAGTGGAGAATCAGAGACTTATTCCCTCACCTCCTGCAGCAGGCTTGTCAGGGGCCAGCATGCTACCTAGGGAGGGGAAAGCAGGAAGGGAGAAGATAGAGGCTGGGAGGGACAAAGAAGGCTGGGAGGGGACAGAAGCTGGGGTTGAGGAAAAACTGAGAGGGGAAGGAGGCTGGGAATCCCTGAGGGTAGGGCAGAGGCTGGATAGTGTGGACATGCCTATGTGTCACCTGGCTCTCTGCTCCTCAGTTCAGACTCCAAGTCCCTAAGAGCAGGCACTTATCTGGCCTTTCTCTTTGTCTACAATGTGAGGGTTCTCTTGTTTCAGCCCAACATGGGGGTGAAAGAAGAGGTTGTTTGTGATCCACTGGCAGGAACTGCCTGCTGGGGGGTAGAGGGGGCCTTTTTATTCAGTGAGCTATGGCAGGGTTACCGAGGAGATGAACAGCAGTAGAACACCCTACTGAGGCTCCCTAACCACCTACACCGCAGACACCGCAGGGGCAGCAAGCAAAACACTGTAGAGGGACAGAGAGAGCCTCTCACCTTGGAGACCAACCAGGGAAGGTGAGGAAGGAGGTTGGTGTGAGATGGACCCTGACAGGCAAGAAGGTTTTACCAAGGCTGGACAGAAAAGCTAGACTTGCAGCATGGGGAGAACTAGTGTGAGCAGAGTGCAGGACAGGAACACCCTCTGGAGGTCCTCCTTCTGACCTCGCTGGGCACTTGCCGGTAGGTCTTCCTTCCAGTTCCGATCACTCTGCAGTGTGTCCCTTCCCAGGGCTGTGCCATCTGACCATGAGGCTTATTGCATCATTGATAGTATAGTGGCAGCTAATGTTGGCACATTTCCTGTGTCGTGCACTTTAATCTTTTCAACCACTCTGGGAAATGCTTGCTGCTATTATTCCCATTGTGTAGATGAACAAACTGAGGTACAAAGAGGTATGCAACCTGTGCCAGTTGAGGAAGCTGTAATTCAATTAGGTTGGCTCTGGTTGTTGTCCTCTTACCAGGCATTGTTGCAGGGGCTAACCACCTAACCTCTCACATAAAGTTGAAATCTACTGTCCCACTTCTGTACCTCAATAGCCGCCCTCTTCTCTATTAAGGAACCAGCGGGGGAAAGCTAAACCCACCTCCAGCCCCACCTGCAAGATCGCCCACCACAGAGCTTTCCAGCAAAAGCCAGCAGCTTGGAGGCCAGCTACGGAATGGAAGCCAGCACATGATTGGTAAGGACCCCACTTGTGTGAAGGCTTCCTGTCCCCCCAAAGACAGGACAAGAGTTCTCTGCCCACCCAAGTGGGGTGGACAGTTGGCCAGCTTCCCATGCTGTCACTGTGGTATCTGTTTCTCAGTGAGCAGTAAAGAGAGAAACACGGAACGGTCTTCAGGATGTGTGAAATAGGGCTTTTCCCTCCATGTCATCTGGATGGTTCTAGGACCCACTCTAGCTGTGTGACTCAGACAGAGGAAGGGAAGACATCCGGCACTAAAACCGTGCATGTACATCACCATGGAGAGTAAATCTATAAGCCTACAAGACCAGAGTGGCTTGGAGAAAGGGAAGGAGGAGTTGACTTCTTGACAGGCAGGAGGAAGACTGAAAAAAGAGGTTGGAAGAAAGACACTTAGGGTCATCAGACCTTCCACATCCCTTCTGTGTGCTCAACTACTGTCAGAACAGAAAGGAGACTGTCAGTCAAGAAGGGGGCAGGGCCACTTCCCTCCTCACCAGAGCCCCAGGGCAGAACCTTTGGGAAGTCCAGGTCTCACACTGTACACAGCCAAGCTGACGGGTCTCCTTCCCTCAAAGCCCCCCTTTAGGAATACAGTAGGCACCCTGATTGAAAGCTAGTACCAGGTCCTTTGCTAGGTTCTTCCCCCTGCCTGGAGCCCTTTTCTGTTCCTTCAGTGGCTCCCTTAGGTGGGCAGAGGATCTCGGGCATGGTGAAGGGGAATTACTGTATTTGGCCTCTGCTGTATCCCCTTGTCCAGCCAGGAACACTTGAAAAGCAGGTGGACTGTTGGAGAAATAACCCTGCCATCAAAACCCCTGCACAGAGCAGGCAAGCAGCAAGCAGGGTACCCAGCCCAGAGTGACCTGTGTGCCTCTGGAGACAGTCACGCTTGGGTCCCGGTAGTAATCTAAGTAAACTCCAATTCCCGTGTTTCTCACATGTACAGATGACTTCGAGTCTAAATTCACGTTCCACTCCATGGAAGACTTTCCCCCTCCTGATGAATACAAACCCTGTCAGAAGATTTACCCCAGCAAGGTCCCCAGAAGTAAGTATTACTTTGCCAAGACCCTCCACAATACAAGGCACCTGCAGATAGCAGTGTGACTTTACTGTCCCTTAGCAAGGGTGCTGAGTGTGCAGACTCCCACAAGCTTAAGGAGATGTACTTGTCCTGATACCTAATGGTTCACTGAAAGATGTCTATAGAATGCCAGAGGTCACTGGTGTCCCCTTAGAAATGCTGAATGAATGGTGCGTCCTTCCCTCCTCAGGGCCTTTGGCCGGGAGACTCGACACCCAAACAACAGAGAAATGGGACATGGGCCCTTTGTATTCATAGCTGGAGAAGTATCTCATCAGATTCTGGCAATCTACAAATGGAAAATGATCAGAGGCCAATGGTTCTCAACCTTGCCTAAACGTGACAATGCTCCAGCAGCCTTCCTAACTCCTGCAGGTAGTCAAGAGTGAGCGCCAGGTGTCGGAGTTTTCGAAAGCTGCCCACTCCCTCTGGTGCACAGCTAAAGTAGAACCACCTAGCCCTGGGGGCTCCTCCTCCTAATTTCACTATATAGGCAGGCTCCAAAAGGCACCTTCACTTACATTGTCCAGTCTAGAGAGGAGGAGGCTGGACGGATGCCACTCAGGGCCAAAATGGCAGGAAAGCCAAAGAACACAGGATTGGGAGATGGCTGCGCAGGGATTCCGAAGCTGTGTCAGTCTAGAGCATTCAGAACTAAGTCATTCAGTATGGCAGAATGCAGGAGATGGCAGAAGCAGCAACACGAGGTTGAGGTGTTCTTATCCCACCACCAAAGTGAAGCCTAAGTCCAACTTGTCTGTACATGCAAAAGGAAAATTACATGTTTAAGGCTGGCCCCAAACCAGAGTCCAGGAACAACAGACTCGTGTACCTGTCCCTGCAGAGAGCCTGGCAACGTCCCTTCCATGGGGCTCAGCTCCCTGGGAGCAGAGTGGGGAATGTCTCCTGCTCAATAGAGAGAAGCTGCCAGCATCTCAGCATCAGCACAACTCTCTCTGCTGGCTGTGGTCACTGTAGACAGAGAAGCCTGGTGTGCCCTATGAATAGAAAGAAGAGAGCTGTCAGTGCTCTCTGAAAGCCAAGCCTTCTCGAGGTTCTGATGGACAGGGAAACCCAGTTGTGGGTGGAAGTGGGCATGTGTCTGCCTAGGATTGCTTTGCAGGGCAGTAGATGCACAGGAACTGGCAGATGGCAGCAGGTGCAATGTGAACATCAAATGCCACAGACAGAAGCCAGGTGCCCAGGCTCATGTCACACGCTGTAATGGATGGATATCTTAGTTAGGGTCTCTATTGCTGATGGAACCGCGGGACTAAAACTCAACTTGGAAAGAAAGGGTTTGTTTCATTTACACTTCCAGGAAGCTGTCCATTACTGAAGGAAGTCAGAGCAGAAACTCAGGCAGGCCAGAAGCCCGGAGGCAAGAACTGATTCAGGTCATGGAGGAATGCTGCTTCTTGCCTTGCTCTTCCTGGCTTGCTCAGACTGCTTTCTTAGAGAACCCAGAGCCATCAGTCAAGGGATAACACCATCCAGAATGGCTGAACCCTCCCTCACGGGTCACTAATTAAGGAAATTCCCTACAGGCTTGCTTCGAGTTCAGTCTTACAGAGGCCTTTCCTCAATCAAGGCCCCCTCCTTTCAGATGACTCTAGCTTGTGTCAGTTGACATAAAATTAGCCAGGACAGATGAGTGGAATTTTTCTGAGCACACCTCAGTTAACTGGTGTGAGGTTTGGGATCTGGCAGTTGAGGGAGCCGTGTAGGGCATGGGCAGGGTCATGAGATTCCCCTGGGAGAAAGCCACATTTCCACATGGGCAGGAAAACATCCAGGCCAGGGACAGTGCAGACCAGAGGAGCATGATAGTTCAAGTGTATTTCCCAATGTACCTGGCTCTGGTGAGCCCCTGCAGGCACCACAGGGCTCAAACTTGGAAAAGCCAGTACATAGCAGCTATGAGCCCATGGATGCAGAGCCACCGTGTAAAGTGTGCACAGGTCTCAGATGGATGAAAATTTGAGTGTCTTCTTCTTAAAGAAAGACAGGGCAGGGCTCAGATGTCAATCTGTTTCAAGGGCAAGGTCTCAGTGACTTAAGACCTCCTAGGCCCCACCTCTTAAAGGCCCTACCACCTCCAGGAGCGCCACAAAGCCTTTAACGTAAGGGCCCTTGGAGACATTCCCAGTCCAAACTAGAGGCCCATCAGTTCCTTGCACTGGCTAGGCTCCAAGGAATTTTAATGTTCAAATGAAATCATGGAATGAAAATATCCATAGTCTAGTAATTGGTCAATGAAGTTGGGTATAGATGCGCTGCCAGATACAGTTCAACCCTCAAAAGGAGTCGGTGCTGAGACATACAACGTGGATGGACTTAAACTCACTGTGCTTAGTAAAAGGAACCATTCCCAAGACCACGTTCCACCAAGATGAAGTGTCAAACATGAGCAAGACCACAGAGGTGGTAAGAACAGTGTCTGCTAGGGACCAGGACATGGGGAATGAGAGTGACAGCTGATTGGTCCGGGGTTTCCTTATAGGGTGATGAAAAACTTCCGCAGCCAACTACTGATCGTGGTTACACTTTCTGAATGCAGGTGCTATGGCCTTCGTATCCACTGGGAGAAACCAGAGATTTAGACTCAACTCAAATTTAGATCATATAAATTTATTCTTGGTTGAGGCTTGCTCTGTTGCTATGTATTGTAATGCTAAGTGCAGCCCACCCCCCAAGATCTGGTTGCCCCAGAGAAGAGGTAGTCCACACATGGACCCAAGTGACTCTGTGTGACCTTGCTCTCAAGTTATTTCTGATTGTGGGTAAAGATGCCTACAGCTAATAGCTGGGAAGAATTGAGATAGGTAGGGCTTTTTGTTCTAGGCTTTGGGATTGGAAGAGACCACAAGGAGAGAAAGAAGGTAGAGAGAGGAGAAAGATGCCATGGGTTAGGAGTTAAGAGCAGCCCAGATGAAACGTAGTAAAAACTCAGGTTATGGATAGGAAAGTAGATTCTAATCGCATAGAGGGTAGATATCTGCCCAGCTCTAGTGCTGATTAAGGCTTATTGTAAATAATAAAAGTTGTGTCTCTTTTATCCAGGAACTGAATGGTCAAAGGTGGGGTAGAAGCCCTGAATTGGGATTAATTTTTTTTTTTTTTTACGATTCTTACAGCTAGTAAAAGGACAACAGCCTAGGAGCTAATACAGCAAGCTGTGTGGAAGGCGGGGTTAGGGTTGGGTTTTAAGGCAGACATCAGGAAGGCATGTGTTACAGCTATCCACGGAATCCATAGCTGGCCGGTGAAATTGTTTTACTTCCCTCAGTTGTTTCTTACTTTCCCACTATAAAATAATAAAAAGACCATCCCGTCTCTTTCTGACAGCAATAAGCAGGCTGTGCAAAGGCAGCTGCCAATACCTCACAGCCCTGCAGGCCACTGGGATGGCCCAGGCATTCTAGGGTAAAGGTCAATGGCCCTTAAGGGATCTCTGGCTCCATATTAAGTTCCTTTAGTCAACACAGGACCTAGGTAATTATCACTAGGTAATTATCACTCAGGTCTGAGCACTCTAGCGACTGGGGTAATAACGCAGTTTATTTCTAGGCACAGTGTGGTCAGGTTAGGGCTGGCTGTCATGTGTCACACGCACACAACACACACACACACAATCTCACTAACAATGAATTTTATTTTCCTAATGTGTATTCAAGTGACAAAAACAAAACAAACAAAACAAAAACCTTATCTGTTCGAGTTTTTTAGGACAATACTTAGCTCACAAATGCTTATTGTCACTAAAGCAGGAGAAAGGCCATTGCTATGTGACCAAATACTTGCCCACCAAGTGCTCTCACCCACTAGAGAGAGTTAGACCGGTGAGTGCCGCACATACCCACAAGAGCCACACCATGGTGGAGGAGGGGAGGAGAAATGCCACACGTGCCGTACCCCATCTTAGCCCCATGTCCCCAGTATGTCCACCACAGTCAGTTCAGTGGGAAAAGTGGCTGATGGCCACCAGGGCTGTGCTCATGTCCCAATGTCTCCTTTTAAAGGAATTTTCAATCTCAAGAAAAATAAAACATGTAGCATGAAAGCCCCCATCTACACCAAGTTTTTAAGTGTTGGCCCCATCAGTGTGATCACACTGCTACACAACCAAACCTGGGGATGAGTCTCGCCTTGCAGAACCAAGACTCCACACACCTGAAGAAATAGCCCTAGGCCTCCTCCTACCAGAGCCCCTGACAACCACCATTCAATTTTTTCCACTAAGATTTTGAACACAGTAATAGCTGGTGTAGGAAGAAGCATATGCTACTTGGGTTTTAGTTGCTGGTTTATTTCATTTTGCAGAATATCCCAAGGTTCACCTGTGTTAGACTGTCCTTCCTTTAACAGTCTTTGCCGATAGCCATACATGTGTCTGCATGTATTATATACCACGTTCATTTATCCATTCATCCACTGTCAGACGTTTGTATTGCTTCCGCATGTTAGCGGTTGAGAACAATACAACACGCGGTGCTCAGAGGTCTCTTCAAGACTATGTTTTCAGCTGATTTTTATATACATATCCGAAAGTACGATGTTAGGTCCTAAGGAAATTCTGTTTGTAGTTGGAGGGACCACCGTGCTGGGTTCTATAGCAGTCCAATCAGTTTTCACCTTTACCGTCTGTACACAGTGGTTTGCATCTTTCCACAGCCTCTGTTAGCGTTTTGTCTAAGCTCCACCCCACAGTTACCTACGAACAGCCAGGTATGTCCGCCCCACAGTTACCTGGCAATAGCCAGGTATGCCTGACTCAAGCTAAAAGGGGCTGCTTGCCCTCTCCTCTCTCTCTGGTTCTCTTGCTCTTGCTTTATCCTCTTGTCCTTCCCCCCCTCCCCGTCTCTCCACATGCTCATGGCCAGCCTCTGCTTCTCTACTCTTCGCCCCCCTCTGCCTTTCTCTGCCTCTACTACCCCCTCAACTCCCCTCCCCATGCCCTGAGTGAACTCTATTCTATACTCTACTGTCCTGTGGCTGGCCCCTCAGGGGGAAGGGATATCTCGCACGGGCCCACAGAGGCACCCCTTTCCCCCATAGCTGACTGTACATCCACCAAACATATCCCCGCTTCTTTATCACTCGCCACAACTGTCTTCAGATTTCAATTTTGTTTCTTCTTCCGTATTGGCATGGCCACTCCAGGGAGTGCAGTACGATGGCTCAATGGCCACTCCGGGGAGTGCAGTACGATGGCTCACTCTTGACCAGCTCTTATTTTAGAGGCATTGTTGATACAACTACCCAATGCTTTCCATAAGCTGTAGAACTTCCCCACCGCACTGCTAGAACCACAGCACCAAGGGGCTCATTTTACGGAAATCAAAGGCCTGACTGGTCCAAGAGTGTGATCCTAAGTAGAAAAAGCACATGGCCACTGGTCACATCTAGTTCCACCTTTGTGGTGACAATGGGGCAGGTCCCTTACCAATCATTAGTGTAGTTGACCACACCCTTACTGGACTGGCTTACAGCAGTCCAGGGCTCACCCCATGATGTTGTCTTTTCTGGGTATGCCTTACTCCTGAGAGGTGGCAGAGATACTGCTCTGCCTTTGCTTTTGTCTCACTCCCCTCCAGCCCTGAGTTCCTGACCCCATATGTAGCTTCTCTCCAGTTCTCCCTCCTGTGCAAGGATCTCCATGTCACATTTTGTCTTAAGAGTCACTAGTACACCCCCCTTCCCATAGCCTCCTTCCCCTGCACCCAGACTGCTCCTCCATGTCCTGTTGTCCCATGAAAGGCATCAGTCATCTTGGATTTCTGTCTCTCTTCTACTCCCCCGCTCGCCTTACTGGGAAGCTCTGTGTCATTTCTCTTTGACATGTCCCCGGAAAGGGCTTTCTCGCTTCCTCTCCCTCTCCCATCCTGGCTGAGCCACTTAGCTATCTAGCAGGCTCCACTGTCTCACACTGCATCTGAGTCCACCCAAGTCCAGCCCTGCTGCCTCTGCTAAAGAAAACCTCCCATTTTCCCCCAGATCAGTTAGAAATTTCCACCGTCACCACAGGGCCTGCATGCGCTGTCCCTCCCCCTTCCACCTCTTTCCTCTAATTGGCCCAGCAACAGCTTTGTAGGGTGTTCCAAGCACACCCCCGCCTCTGTTCTTTCTTTGCCGCTGTTCCTTCCGTATGAGACACTTTTCCAGGATGCCCACGTCACTCCCTCACCGTTTTCTCTGGAACCCTGAGTTTAGCAGACGTATCTTCTCACAGTTGGTACGAGTCGGCTGACTCTGTTTCTAGGTAGGAGTCTTTCTTCTTTGCAGAGGGTCCCACCCTCATAACCATCTCTCAGGGGCACCCCTGCTGCCCCACCACAGGCTCCATGACCAAACACTGTCATGTTGAGTGTTAAGCATGTGAGATTTGGAATCTATTCAGACTATAAGTAGCTTATCAAAGAAAGTCTGTTCAAACAACAGCTCTTTCTGCCCAGGTACCTAAAAGTTTCTTCATGCCATATTTTGTCTCCAAGTACCTTCCTGCTGACCCTTGCTTCCTGCCTCAGTATGCTGGGAGCCCTGATTGGCAAAGAACTACCTCTGCTTTATCCACTGGCCTATCTCTGGCTCCCAGAATGGAGCCAGCTACACAATCAGTAAATAATGTTTGAATTAAAAATTTTTTTAAATATCCAGTCATCTGTAACTTCAGAGTGAAAAACTTGGAAATAGCACCAAGTTCCATCCATGTGATTAAATTAATTATAACAGAGTCACATGCTAGAACTCTTATGGCCTTTAAAAGAGTATGTTGAATATTCAAAGACACAATAATTGTCATGCTGCTATGTCAGTGAAAACAGCCCAAGCAAGACTACACAAAACGAACATAAAGACACTTTATAAACATTTATTGAATTTTGTATTATATAGTAAGGAAGAATTTGAGTATAGAAATACACAAAAAGGTTAAATGTGGGGAAATTATGCATGGCTTTCATTATTTTCCTTTACTATTCTGTGCAGATTTTTATAATAAATGTATATTGAATATATAAAAATGCGTATTGTTCAATATACAAAATGCATATTGTATAAAATATATATTGAATATATAAAAATGTATACTGTTCACGTTCCTGCCAAGGCTTAAACAGTGTTGTCCCCTGACTGACAGGTCTGATCTGCATAGGAGCCACCTTTTCCCAAATAGAGTTAACTCTTCGCAGTGATCGCTCTCCAAGGCTGCTGTTAGCACATCTAAGACTCTGCCTTAATGGCCTTCCAAGTTTGTAAACCCTTTCTGCACCCTGCCCAAGTCCTACCTCGCCATCCTCCTGTTGCCTGTAAATGGATTTGACTCCTAGTATGAAAGTATAGCTGTGCTTAGAAAAGGTAACAAGGCACTCTCGGTTTCCACGTGACAAAACATTAGGCTAGAAGCCATCAGGGGCTCAGTGATCCAAGCACAGCTAATCCTTAAGCCCATGGTCCCTCTGCCTTTTATCCACAGCCATGTCCGTGACTGAGACAGAAGATGGCAGTATACGGCTCTCTGTACAACAGAGACATGGAATGAGGAAGTGGGGTGAAATGCATTTACTTCATATTATGAGCTACAGAAGCAAATGTGGAGACTCTGTCATTCCACAGGTTCCGAGTCTCTGCCTCGGATCTGTGCGGGGACAGCAGGTGGCAAGGGCAGCGTTTACAGAGTGACCCCAGAGAGGCTAGTGGCACCTCATAGAGGAAACTCCCCTTAAGCTGCTTTTTCAGTCCAGAGCGTCCTGACTGTCCCCAAGGATGTCCCAGTCACTCACTTACAACAGCAGTGAAGCTTTTCTTGCAACCAGACATGGAGTGTGCCGTCCTTTTTGACAGAGAAACTAATTTTCCTCCAGCCTATGTGTTCTGATCAGCTCGTGGAAGCTGATGGGAACTGCCTACCAATGAGGCCTATGTTACCGCACACTAGTGATCAGATGGGGGCAGATGTTGTTCCCAGAGGCCATTCTTCCCAGAGTCCTTTGTGGTAGTTACCAGTAGACCAGCGCTTAGGCAAGGCGCTGAGTAACACTGACTAATGTGACAAGGGTCCCACAGTTCAAGGTCACACACATGAGGAATACAAGTTTAACTAAAATGTTAGTAACGGCCTGTCCATGAAAGCTATGGCCAGTGAGAGGTTCATCTGAGGCAGACAGGCCATACGTAAAGCTAAGGACCACAGTCTGCAAGGTTTCTCTCCCATATGGAAGTACAACAAGGGTTGCCTGTCAGTGTCTTGCGGACAACTAGCAGAAAAAGCTAACATGCTCTCTGTGATTTGCTCTGAAACATCTTTATTCTTGAACAAATGCAGTCCTTGGTTTGGACCTTGGTTAGTGCTTTTTTGTGGGTTTCAGAGCACTTTGTGATGGTTCATTGAAAATCGTGCCTTACCTGCGAGACTGCTCTGGTGCCAAATATGTAAGACTGTAGACTGCTTCGAAAATGTCGGAAAGTTTTAAAATAGTGATTCTAACACCCACGAGGGAAATTTGCTTCTTACGGATTTTTATGGATTTTAAAAGCCTGGATTTTTCTTGTCATATAATTTCACTCCCCCCCCCCAATCATCTTCACGAACGTTCAAGCCGCTGGTTGCAGCTCCCTAATGTCAGGCACCCTAAAGCTCCCAGCACCTAGAACCTTTTGTCAGAGACCATAACCATGTTGCTTTTTAAGTGGCTCAGAAATGCAGATTATAGGGTGCATTCTGAGACATGGCTGTGGAATCCCTAGTCCCTGACAGCAGCAAGACAAAGGACAGGTGGCAAGAGTTTCCAGCCAAACATCTCAGAGGAAAAGACACCAGGAGGTGAGGTCCTGAAGCTCTGACTGAAAGGAAATTTTGGAAGCACCTGGAGATGTGACTTTAAAACTCCAGTAAATCATCTTTTTTTTAAAAAAAAATCAGACTTTTTGTTGTGATGACACTAGGACAGGAAACTGGAATTGAATGTGTAACACACAGGATACGTGGTATTTGGGGTCTTCCTCCCCACCCCCTTTATCTTCTACATTCTTTTAATTCTTAACTATGGCATTCTGTCCTGTGCAACTTGTACAACACTGAAGCCAAATACATCTCAGAGACATATTGTTGGAGCTTCATTAAATGGACACCTAAATCGTGTCAGCTGTGACTAATATTCCTCCATTTTAGCAGACCCTGCAAGGTACTTGGCTTGTCTCAGTGGCAGACAGAGAAGTGTGCCTGGAGGCCTGGTATATGCCCATCAGGAAGGCCTTCTCACACACCACTGCATGACACAGAAGACGGGTGGAAACACACAACCCAGGGCCAGAAGGCAGAAGGTTTCAGGCTGGGCTCATGTTGCCTGGAGATCCTCTGCCGGTATTCTGGGTGCTAGCTTAGCAGAAGTGTCTCCACAGGGTACAGAGGCCCTGGGCCAATCGATGGTGACATCACTCTTGTTTCTCTCAGGCCGCACACCTGGTTCCTGGCTCCAAGCTGAGGCAGCTGGGCAGAGCTCTGATGACATCAAAACCAGAAATTCTCAGGTAATACCTCCCTGGGCCCTGAATATAAAGCCTGGAATTCTCTAGGATTCTCTGCCTGTGGGTCGTGACCCCTTTGGGATCATGTCAGATGTTCTGCAGGTCAGATATTTATTTTACATCATGATTCATAACAGGCGTGAAATTAAAGTTATGAAGTAGCAACAAGATAATTTTATGGGGGGGAGTGGCACCACAACACGAGGAACTGTATCAAAGGGTCTCAGCATTGAGAAGGTCACGAACCACGGCTCTGCAGGGACTTCTTCTCTGTGGGAGCTTTCCTCTCTGACTCCTCTTCCCGAAGAAGGCCATTTGGTGTACCCAGAATGAAACACCTACAATTTCGTACTCTGCCCTGTGGTAGGGGCTTTCCTTAGAGTTGCCACCACGTACAGAGGCAGTTTTACTCCCTCAGAACCCTGCAGTCCCATTCAGTCCTGAGTCTGATCATTCTAGAAGCCCAAGGAAAGAGCCCCCTTAACATCTGTGACATATAATTTTGTGTTCTCGCTTACCTATAGAATGGACAGTTCTTTGGGATTTTTTCTTCCGTTAATATTAGAATTGATTTTGACCAAAATTTAATGCTCTTGGCTACATGTAATTAATTGCCAACGCTTGGAGGAAAAACTACATAAATACCCTTGTTCTCACCCAAAATAACTCAGAGAGAGTTTGCTAACCTGGATAGAGGTGACATCTCTTCACTGCTGGTGACATGGGCTCCTCTTTAGAAATCTTTTATTTCTCCAAACACGTGAATTTAGGCCTTTCCTGGCCTACTTCTGTTTCCAAGTTCTACAGAACAGAGGGCAAGCTAGCTGCTGATGACAGAGTCATTCAGCAATCATATGATACGTTAAAGAAGTGGCCTGGTTGGGAGGGTCCTAGAGTCCTGAAAGCTGCAGTTGCCCAATGGAGAGGTTTGCTTCAGCCACGCATTCCCCCTGCCCCTTTCTAAACACAGGTAACTCAAGAGGCACAATAACCACTCTCTAATGAGCACAGATTCAAAAGGGAGTGTATAATGGTAAAGGGGGAAGAAGGAGAAAGGACAGAGTTTTCGAGATTGTTGACAGGTGGAAGGAAGGCTTCTGGGAAGATGGCAAGGTAGGAGGCACCACAGTCTGCCACTCTACCTGGAGGTGGTGGTTCTGGCACTCTGTCTGTTGCACTTGTCTTGGGATTCTGGCATCCGCTGAAGACTTACTGTGTCCTGGAAAGACTTGAGTCACACACTGCCATTGATTTTGCTCAGTTTCAGCTCATGAGACATCAGCATCGAGCCATTCCCCACCCATACCCTGCTAACAAGCAGCCATGCGCATACTCATGGAGCGACTACCCACTTGTTCAGATCTTGGGGATCCATGCTCCAGTGTCTCCTCACTATTTCAGACCACAGAAGTTCAGATACTGATGTCAGTGTTTGTCATTTCTCACATTGACCCTAGATTGTTGCAGGCCCCTCCCCTTTAGGCTGAAATGCTTGCTGGGAAATTCTCTTCTTGCCTTCTGTCTTTCTGTTTCCCATTTGGAGATTCAAACACTAATGACCAGGTAGGTCTCCATTAGTCACCTTCCCTTTAATATTGATTGAAAATGCCTTACAAGAGCGACTTCAGGGAGGAAAGCTTTACACGTTCATGGGGGCAGGCACTTGAAGTAACTGGACCTCTTGCACTGTAGTGGGAAGCAGAGAGCTGTGGACACATGGACTCAGCCTGTTTCTCCCATTTAATGCATTCCTGGACACAAGCCTGGCATAGTGCCACCCACCTATTTTTAAGGTGGGTTTTCTACATCAATCTACTTGATTAAAAAAAAAAAACCTTCTCATAAGAATGGCAAAAGTTAGATAACTAAGACTCTGTCCAGTCTAGATAGCTAGGAATGCCCAGAGACCTATTACCTAGGGGATTCATGGATAATGTCAACTATTTCAAGGTACACGTATGTATGAAATAAAAAATAGAAGAAAGGAGAAGCACAGGAAAACATCTGAAAATCTGTATTTATGCCTTAGGAAGATTCTCGGCACTGAGATAATTTACAACCATAAAAAAATTAAGATCAATAAAACAATAACAACAAAGGAGCAAAACCTGAAGAGACTGGAGAATCTAATCTCCAATACTGCTGCTGCAGTACCTCATCCAGATGTGCAGTTCCCAACGACAACACACACATCCCACGGAGGGGCAGGAAAGCTTAGCCCCTTCCAAGATAGGAGGGAGAGTAGGAAACATAAATTATCACCAAAAGAGAACTCATGGTAGATTCACCAAAGACTTCATCAGAGCTGCCCTAGAGATGTTCAGCTAAATTCAAGAAAATTGTGTGAACAAATGGAAGGATCTATAAAGACAAAATCACAGATACAACTGAGAGGAGGGGAAGCAGAGAACATGCAAGGCAGATCCAAACAGCAGAAAAGAAGCAATGAGCCTGAAGACAAAGGGAACAGAGCCCAAGGAAGCTTGCTGGGGACCAGAGCTATACATTGCTGGACTTAGTGAAGGAGAGAGAGAGAGCGCGCGAGAGAGTGTGAGAAAGTGAGTGAGAGAGAGAGAGAGAGAGAGAGAGAGAGAGAGAGAGAGACAGAGAGAGACAGAGAGCGCCAGAGTGTGCCAGAGAGAGCATGAGAGTGAGGGAGAGGGAGAGGGAGAGGGAGAGGGAGAGGGAGAGGGAG